AGTTTATGCCGCTGTCTCGTTTTCTTAATAGTCTCGAGAAACTTATGGGCACTTTCGTGTCTCCTGTTCGCTCGAGCGGCCGTGTAGCTTACTCGGAAAAAGTGAAACTTCCAATCGATTAGTCATTTCTACACTTTTGATAAACGCAATAAAAATAATTAATTCGTTAATGCTCCCTCTCTATTTGCTAATATTATTATTTTTACTTGGAGCTGTATATTTCAGCATCAATCGCCTATCGATGTAGGTAGTAAAAAAACAAAACAAAAAAGAATTATAAAAAATTTATTTTCTCCTTACATTTTTTATAAGCGCCGGATAAAAAGTTATAGTGTTATATATTAATTTTAAGGCAATAGATCATTTGAATCGATTCAGCGCAATACCGAACGCATCAAATATTGATGGAAAAATTCTTTATGATTATATTTGTTTTGGTTCGATATATATATATATATATATATATATATGAAGTAATCATGATCCAGCTTAACATTGCACAGTCCGCCAATTTTTAATCGATATTTACGTCACGTTTAATAATAAACGTTTGCTTTATTCTTAGGAAACATTAGAGTGCACATTGATCAATAGACTATCCTGTAAAGTTATATGCTACGTGTTTCATATGACTCTCGGTCTCTCTCTCTCTTTCATTCTCATAACCATTTTCTTCCGATAATATATTAAACATATTAATATAAACTATCTGAATTATGATTATTATACTACATGTTATCAAGCAAACAAAGATATTAGTATTAAATGAATTCAAGAAATTGTGTGTAATACTTTCATTAGAGACGATTATTAGAAGAGAGTTTTGATAAATTTTGCCTCATAGATTACGCGCGTAAGTATAATATATCGTCGATAAACTATTTGTTTCCTTACTTACATTGTTACAACTCTAATAGATACACGTCTACGTCCAGTTTCTTTAGGCTTTCTCTTTGAGTTTTACAAACAATGTAAAATTTACCTCGTTTCCTCAATTTTCCTCAATGTTGGCTCTTTCAAGTTGTTTTTCCTCATTGATTAATTTAATAAATTATAAATGACGCTAACTTTACGCTTTTTTTTTTTTACAAAATTATCTGAAACTGAACGATTTTTTAAATTCCATGCTAACTTCAACATTTATTTTATCAAATGAATTGCATTGATTTTGTTGATCTAAGACAGGTTTTTTTTTGTTTTTTTTTACATAAGATGTATCATTTGTAATAAGGATAAGATACGGTAAATTTACGGCACGTTCGTTAATATTGTAAAAACATCAACGATCGTACGGTTAAACAATATTGTACTGTTAGTATAACAGCAAATTTGAAAATCAAGAGATTTCTAATAATAACGTAATTTCAGCTGGCAGTATACAGTCGACATAAGAAGAATTGCAAAATTTATAAAAATATATACTTTAACAATATTCAATAGCTCGTACAGATTATTGATATAACTGCTTACTGCCAGAAATAAATTTTAAATTAACTCGTTAAGTAAATTTGACAGAAATAACTGAATAACTGTTTCCAACTATTCGATTAAAAATGAAAAAACAAATATTAAAAAATAAAGGCACGTGTATACGCACACAAACTCACGCACAAAGGTAAAACATATTAAAGGTTAACATATAGCAACGGTTTAGTTACTTTTCATGTTGATTAATCGCCGCTAATTTAATTGGCTATATCGAAGCGTCATGCCAATTTATAAACTCCCAATAGAGAAAAGAACCTTTAATGCAATCAATTAATGTTAGAAGCAATGAATTAGCGAAAGTTTCTTAGCAATTTCACCAGATCGCTTTCTAACAATACAATATTTTAGTACTTTTACGTAACAGACAATTAAAAGTTGAAAAATAAATTCTATTTTATAATTGCGGAACGCTGTAAAGACTTATTAAGCTTCTGAACGCTCATTTATATTATTTGAATCAAATTTCGTGTGAAATTGAAACGCTCCTGCTAAATTGAAGATTAAGAGAGGCAAAGTCGATAGAGAATATTGAGAGTTTGCGGCTTCGCGCTTCGTGTTGTTGAATGTTGCGTGCATTTGTTGCCAACGCAATAAACCTTAGCTTTGCGTTATAAACAATGGGAATATTTTTTTAATTTGATAATGCACTGAGAAATACTGGTATAGTCGAATCAGGCATTACGTGGCCTTATGGTGCCACAAGTTAAGCCCAAAGCCAGAAAAAAGAAATCGCTCGTCGTTCGGTTTGAGAAAGAAGGAATAAACAAGAGAAGCGCCGCGAAACTTTCTTCTGCCTCTGTTTTCGATAACTCACCGCAAAAGTGTATATTCCATATCATCAAAGCATCGTGAAGATGAAAAGCTCGTAGGCAAAGTACGCCGGTACGAATGGGTAAGGAGCCGGGTAGGTGAGAGGCGGGGGCGAGGAGAGGCGTGTGTATGTAAAATGGAAGAGTATTCGCGAAAAATCGAGGTGGGTAGTTGTGGCTCGAGGAGCCTCGAGATGAACTCGAGGGATATGGAAGCGGCCGCAATCAAAAGGAAGAAAGGCTGTCGGGTGGCGCCGGGCAAGGTGACGGGGAGGGGGAGAGGGGGGGGGCGGAGGGTCGGCGAAGGGAGGTAGCGGATGACTGGGGGAGTAGGCGGAAGGAGAGCGGTAAAAATATCGAGGATGCTGGGATGGATGATGAAGGGCACAAAAGAGCGGAATATTTAGAGGGCTTTAACATAACAAGTGATAGATGAAGAGAGCTGCGAGGAAGCGCGAGACAGAAACAAACGTCGACATTTTTGTCAGTGCGACAGCAAAAATATTGTGAGCGACTTTCTGGAAATTATGATTTTTTAAAAATCTCCATTTCACGACAAGACACGACGAGTAATTCCGCAGAAAAGGTTTTTTATTCTTCCGAAGAACGGCAAAGGAGATAGTTTTGGTACTTTTATTTCATCCAACGTAATTACGATCGCCACGGTAATGTCGCTGTATATGTAAATTATTAAGACGTCAATTTCTCCTGATGTATATTCATTTTTTTTTTTGTTTTTTTTTTTTGTTTTTTTTTTGTTTTTTTTTTTTGTTTTTGTTAAAGAATTACATTTAGAGAAAGGATATCGTCCCGCTCTACATCTATTTCGTCGTACATTAGCAAATAGAACCAACGGTATTTTAGTTGATGTATTGAAGTAGGCCTGGAATAATCAATAATTCGAGCAGTACTCGTGATTAACAAAGTATTTAAAATTCACCGTTTTCATAAAGCGGCTCATGCATCCCCATGAAAATGGCTTGCAATGTACGTATTTAGTATTTATCGGCATATTGACAATCCCTAAGCAGGTTATTGTAAGTGTATATGAGCGTAGTTTGGAAATTAGGTTTGCACTTACGCGATGGCCCGTGTCGTGGGGATTCATGTCCGATAAGTGGGCGAACATACTAATAATAAAGTGCCCGTGGCTCACGGATTTATGAAATTACCCGCTTTATTTTGTTATTATAATGGGCTGTCGCAGCTGCTGCTGCTGCTGCTGCTGCTGTCGACGCCGCCACCACCGCCGTCAGTTCTCACGGCGCACGCGCGTATTACGGCAATGTACTGACGTTAGAAGGGGAGGAGGACGAGGACGAGGACGAGG